AAAATTTTTAAAAATTATTATTTAAGGCTTTTTTAAGATTAAAAAAAATAAAAAATATAAGTTTTTTTAAAAAAAAATTTAAATTTATAAAACATAAATAGTATCAAAAAATCAAAACTTTTACAAGCTTCACTAAATATGCCCTTAATTTTGAGTCTTTGTCCTTTGACTCAGTAAAAAGCAAGTAGAAACTTGCAAAGCAACTAACAGTCTACCTATGCCTTCTAAATACCTCATAACACCATTCCAATTTTCCTGCTTCAATAAATACTCTGAGTTAATTTTGAGTCTTTGATTCATTAGAAAAGCAAGCACAAACTTGCTAACCAAGTAACACCTCTGGTCCTCTGCCTATGCCTTTCAAATGCCCCATAACAACACTCCAATTTTCTTGTTTCACTCATACCTTCATCTCAAATTCACTCCTAGTTATTGTCCTAATAGGTTGAAGTAAAAAAAGACTATACAGACTACAGAAATTAAGAACTCAGTATTCTGCTTTCTGTTGCTTAGAAACAAAAGTTCTACTTTTCTAAACTTAGATTATTCTGTGTTCCATGTATTGCTGTCCAAATTGCAAGATAAAAATCTGTGAATGAGAAATCTGAAAAACAAGAACCATTAGATGAGAATAGATCCCTTCATATTAATAATTTATGTTGTGCAAATTAGATTGCATAACATTTTTTTTTTATTATGCAAGAGGAAAACAAGAACCATTAGATAATGGGACAATTTCCAATATCATAGAGCTTATCCTTATCTAATGATTTATGTCATATAATTTAGACTATACAAATACCTTTATGTTTTGGGGTTTTATTATTATTATTATTATTATTATTATTATTTGCAACAAAATTACACAACTTGTTTTAAGCCCAATAGAAGTTTTTGGGTCGAACTCCATTATGAGATCTGGACCAGATCTAAGCAGTTTTAAGAGTAACGGCCCAAGGTTTTTGAGCCCAAAAGTGAAATCTTCCAACTATTCTATTGTTATTTTATTTGACTAAATTCAATAATTAGT